ACCCGTTCCTGCCCCCAACAACACACCCCCCCCCCCACCGGATGAACCCGACGCTGTCCTCAGCGCCGTGTGCGGTGATGAGGTCGGGGCACAGGAAAGCCTCCCGGAAATCGCCGATGCGCGCCATGTGACGCAGGACTGGGGTGGGGCAAGGTGTTTCGTGTGGGTGAGAGTGTGGGAGGTTAGGGTGCCGGAGCCAAGTGTGTTGGAATACTCGTGCGGAAGACGGTCATGTGCGCACGCATATGGGGGGTGGGATGCAGGGCAAGGGGCGCTGCATCGCGCCTTGCATTCGCTCAACTGCATGCAATGTTAGCATACGCAATCGTTTCGTTCCACAACATCAGCTGACCATGCAGCAGCACGCCAGATCAAGCTCAACGCCAGGGCAGTGGCCGCAGCCCTGCCGCCCAGCTGCAAGCCACCGCGCCTGCTTGTCACACCTCCAGATCGCCCCCCAGATCGCGCCCCAGGTCAAACCGCCATCCTGCCCACGGGCCCCCCAAGCTCACCCCCTTCGTGCGCAACGGCCTCGGCGCGGTTGATGTAGCACCAGACCGCCAGGAAAGAGTCGACATCAAAGTGGTTGGTCGTCACAAAGCTGGGGAGGGGGTGGAGGGGGATTTGACGAGGGCGTTTCAAGAGGCTGTTAGGGAGGGGGGCGAGGCGGCGGACGGCCGCGCCGGCGGCGGGGCGAGGCGCCCGCTCAGCTGCGGGCAAGAAGGGGCTCAAAAGTGCGGACGTTGACGCATTTGGATTGATAGAGGGCGTCGCATGCGCGCGCCTCACATTTTGATGCGTGTTGCACGGGTGTCCCTGCATATAGTCGGCCCTGGGTGGTGCCCGGGCAGGAGCTTGATCCAGCCCGCCACGCGGCCCCGCGCTCTCTCACCCCGCCACTGCGCAGGCCCCCGCCACCCCCACCTGCACCCCGCCCCGCGCTGCCAGAGCGCGGGCGCTCCTCAACCCAAAACCCCACCAGCCGCGTCCAATCCCTCAACCCTGTGCCCCTGACGTCCCCGGCCGCACAAGTTTTTGCACTGCCTCCCGTCTCGAGATCTTCACAATGACCTTACCGTGGAAGTCACGGGGTCACGGCCCACCTGCGCTGGCAGACCGCCCACACGTCGCGCTTCCAGGGCCCGGTAGCCAGCGCGTTCAACACCAGCCCCGTGCTCGTGTCGCTGCGCCTCAGGCCGCCGCCGCCGCCCGGGTTGCGCGACCCCCGCTGGTGGCTGAGCGTCGGCAGGCGGGGGTGGGTGCAGTCGACCGCGACCACCTCGGATTCGTCGTCGTATCGGTCCGAAAAGGGGACGTATGAGAACGTCTTCTCTGGGGCGCCTGCGGTGGGCAGGCGTCGCGTCGCGCGGTGCGGCGCTGCGTCGCAGGGCTCAAAGGAGGTGCTTGTGCCATTGCATGGCCGCAGCTCGGGGAGGACAAAACCAACTGGGCGCGCAGCACAGCTGTCGCCCATGCGCCAGAGCGCATCCACCCGGGCGGCCCTGCTCTGCCGCCACGCGGGCGCGGCCGCGCGTGCCTGGCCAACCACCTCGGCACTTGCAATTGGGCTGTTGAAAGGCGCCATTACAGCATGCGGCGCCCTGTGGGCGCCCTGCTGTCCCGTGGCCATCCTGGCGGCCGGGTCACTCAACATTTGGCATCCATTCCGCACCGCAAACTAAAAATGACAGCAATTCGCATGGAGCGCTCACCGCCGCTGTAATAATTGTACAGCATCTTCGCGCCCGCCGCAAACGCCACCGACACGGCCGCAAACTCAGCTGCGCCCGTCAGCGACCACGGCGCCGCGCCGCCGCTGGCCATGGCGCCGCCGCTCAGCAGGGCGCGCCACCCCGGCTGCCCTGAGGCGCCGTCGCCCCCGCCGCCCGCTTCGCCCTGCGGGCTACCCCCGCCTGATGCAGCCTGCTGTCGCACTTCCTGCTCCTCCGCTTGATGGTGCAGCTGCTCTTCCTGCTGTTGCTGCTCCTGCTCCTGCTTCTCGTCTTCGCTGAGCTCCAGCTGCTGCTCGCGCAGCACGCCGACCTCCTGCTCGCCTGCGCGCCACGCTGCAGCAGGGCGGCACGCCAGCGTGGTATGCCGAGCCGCAGCGGCTGCCGGCAGGGCTGGAGTTTCCACGCTACGCGAATCTTAAATTACTTTCAGGATGTGCATCGCAAATTGGTGAATGAAGGACACCTCTCCAGTTTGCCGCGGATTGATTTCACTAGGATCACGCGCAAATTGAAGAGCACCAGTGAGATATTCCGTGGTGACTGCTGATCATCTGACAGGCCGCGCTGCTCAGAGCCAGGCGGGGTCACTGCCAGTCACTTCGAGGTGGGCAGTCATCAGCTGGGGCTGGAGGCCCCCGCACACCCACTGCAGACCAGGCGCAGATGCGCTGCTTGAACGCGAGCTGAACAACGTCAAATCTCAGCATGCTTCATTGTCTATGCCGAAATGTATTCAACATGGCACACGTCAGCGCAACACACGTATAATCCACGCGTTCCTCTTGCTGCACAGGCAAGCGGTCTGCCGGTCGGCAAGCGTGTGACAAGCGTGTGACAATCTCTGGCGAGTTTGTTGGTGTGGGTACCTGCCGTTGTAAACTGATTGCAGTCTGGCACGTCTTGCCCACCTTTCAGGTCAGGATTGGCACACGAAGCTGTTGCTGCGGCCGTCCCCTGGTGATACTTGCCGCTTTGGATGTGATGACGGCGTGAACCCTGTTCATGATCTCAACACGGGCCGCTTGAAGGGACCTGTGACCTCCGCACTATTGGCTCCAAAAGTAACCCGCCAGCTGCCCCCCCCCCTGCAGCGGTTCTGAATCCCGGCAGGCTCCCACATGTGCGGGCCGGGGGCTCCGTCCAGTGCTGTCGAGGCTCCAGCCAGTCACATCGAGGCTGTGCTGCTAGCGGCGAAACCAGCAGTATGGGCAGCAGTATATTCGGCCCCTAACCCACATATTTTTCAGGACTTGCAGTCGCGCCACCATCCATTCAATTTGGTTCGTTGGCTTGAAAGCATGAAGGATTCCCTTGATGTTACTAAATGTGGCAGGACGTGATCACGAAAAGGATTTAACACACAGGCAAGTTAGGATATGTGATTGCAGAGCCATCAGGATTCATGGGCTGGTGGTGGCTACAGCCACCGTTGTGAGGGGTTTGTCTTCTGTGCAGCTCTCGGTTTCAGCGAGCGGGCACCAGAGCGCCGCTGCGCCTACTCACGGGGCGCGCCACGGGGAGGCGGCTGCACGTCGCGCCCCACGCACCTGCTTTTAAACGTCCAGCCACCTGCGCTGGAGCAAGGCGTGGGTGTAAGCAGCAACACCCCCGCCCCAATTCGGCCTCTGAATGACACACGCGCACGCCCCTATCTCACAAAGAACCCCCGGCGCGTTTCGCAGCGCAAACCTTGCGCCCACCGCTGCGGGGGCGAATGGGTTGACAAGATCAGGCCACTACCCACTTGCCGCAAGCGGCGGGACTGCGCATGGGGAAAGCGCAGCCCGACCCAGCTCACGTGCAAGGGGCGCCGGCGCCCAACCCCTGATTGGGGAACCGCTCAGTGAAGACGCGGTCGATATGAACCAGCCCGAGCGCACCCGGACGCTGAATTCCACCGTGGACTGGTGAACAGCATGCACGCATAGCAGGCAGGGGCAGGACAAGGAAGAATGGTACACAGGCAGAGAGGGAGGGCTCAGGGGGAGACCGCGCGCTGCTGCTGTTGCCGTGGTGCCGTCGCTGCCGATGACGCCGTGCTGGGTCAAATGTCGCAGCAGCATTTCCTTGGGGTGACGATGCTTCCTAAGCATGAGGGAGGAGTATGTGAGAGCATGGCGGGCAATCAACACTGTGCCGTGCCCTGCTTATGCCAGGCAGCAGCTGGATCAACGGCAGCAGCTGCGGCAGTGCAGCAGGAGCATCCAGCGAGTCTGGTGCAGGAGCCGCTGACCCTCCGAGTAATCTGACCTGCCGTCTTGACATGTGATAGGAGTTCCGGACCGCCGCAGGTGAGCCACGAGAGCGAGCGCCCCGACTCGTTGATCGTCGCTGTGGGCCAGATCGATGATTGACCACGGCTAATAATACTCGTAGTGAAGATTTTCATAAAATATATTCATGACCGTGACATCCATGATCACAAGCTTTATGGGCGCTGGCTTTTCAAAGGGTTCCCAGCTTCCCCCCGCTTTTACCCAGGGGAAGTGCTCGCTGCCGGCCACGGATGTGGGTGTCAAGGTTGAGCTTTTTGGGGTGCCCCGAGCCGGCTGCGGCGCCCTACCAAAATGTTTGATGTTCCACGAAAGCCTGGTGTTTTCCACTTGAAGGAAGCCTGGTGTTGAGATGGGTTGGCCCGCGGCACGAATGACTGGGCTCCAGGGGGTTGGGTCGCTTCCGCCGGCCGAAGGCCTCTGCATCTGCGTCATGTTGATCTTGTGCTGCTCGTATTGAAACTTGTGAGTTGTTTGCAAGGGGGAAGGCGGGCCCGGTGGGGCTGATGGATGGAGCGCGGGCCGCTGCGGTCCGTGCGGGGCAGAGCGCCCTGGCTGGGCGCAGCGGGCCCAAGCGCGCCACCTCGGACGTTCGGGACACATCGCCGCTCTCCAACCCGCGTTAGTTTCGGTTTTCTGCGCCCGTGTGCACTTCCCCCAACACACACGCACGCACACACAAACACACACACACACACACACACACACACACACGCACACACCTACACACACACACACACACAAACACACACACACGCAGTTGCTGCGCACGCCGAACCCCGCCCTCCCCCATTCGTACGATGGTGATCCCGGACACTCCCTCAAAGCGCAGGTGGCGCGCACGGCCCTGGTGGACGGATGCCGCCCGCGTTAGCAGCCTCGTTACAACCTCGGAAAGCGGAGTATTGCAGGAGCCCGAGGAGAAGAAGCCAGCCATGTTGTTGCCGGACATGGGCATGTACTGGCGATGACATCAAGTGGTGGCCGCAATGACGTCATGGGGCGGCCGGGTGGCGGCGCGTGCTGAGGGCGCTGCGTGCGGCTGCCGTTGCTTTGCGCGCTCTTGTTGCTTGACTATTTTGTCCCCGACCGTCTCGTTTGTTTTATTTGATTGGTGCTGTCCCGCAAGAGCGTGTGTTCCTCGGCTCTTCTCAGAGGGCGTTGAAGTATGATCTTTCTTGTCGTAGTGCATGTCTGCTCGGATCTTGGTGCCACAGTTTGCAAAATTCCTGCACTCAGGGCTGCTGGGCATCAAGCTGGGAGCAGCACCACCACCCATTGATTTTGATTATTGTTTGAAGCAATCCGATACAGTACCAAATACACGGTAACATTTGCCGTGGTCAGGGGCGCCGAGGCCCTGCACCGTCGGCGCCGCACCTTTGCCCGAGCTGCTGCCCGCTGGGCTGCCGCCTGTGGGGCGGGCCTTCTGCCGCCTGGCAGCAGGCCCGGCGCTTTTTCTCTTTCTGTCTGGGGGCGGCGGGCTGGTCGCTCGTTCGTCTCGCCTGGTGGGGTGGTCCTTCTGGCTCAGTAACGCTCTCGCGTTCCTTCGCTTCCGCTCAGGGCGCCTTCGGCGCCGGCCGCGCTGCCGGCGGCAGCCAGGGGCAGGCAGCGCAGGGCAAGAGCTGTATGACGACCTTGCCAGGCTGTAGGGGCAATCCAGTGGGGGCAGGCGCGTGGCACAGTAGAAAAACGCACGCGAGGGCCCGCGTGCCGATGCCGCCCTTGTATTATCTCCCAAGGCGCATCCGCTAACAACCCTCCACTACATTGCTGCTTGTGTGCAGGACAGTCCCCCTACAAAACCCAGCCACCGTTGCGCTGCCTCTAACAGCTGCACCATCGACTTTATCGGGGCAAGCAACTGAAGTTGCTTAGCTCACATAAAACTTTTGCGTGTCAGGATATGGTTTCACATGAATTAAGATCTTGTGGAAGCCACCATTTTTGATGTCCATGGTGCAGCTGTTGGTTTAGACGAGCGCTGCGTAAGCATGAGGCGGCGGCCAGGGACGTCGGGCATGCACGGCTGCCTAACACACAGCAGCCGTGTACCCTGCAAGCTACGTTGTCAGCAGAAAGGCTGCATACCCGGTGTTGTCCACAACCCCGGTGTATGCACACTTCAGATGCGTATTTTGCGTTGTGCTCTATGCTGTGATGTGCGCTATCCATGTAATTACGAGAGACACTCTGCACAGCCTGCTGAACCAATGGCCGGCCCTTAGGATTGGACATGGACATGGAATGCTGCATCTGGGCTGTCAGTCATATCTTGGGGCCAATCAAGACCAGGGCAAGCTGTTGCAGCAGGAAATCGAACGGGGTCACGATCGTGCATACAACCACAAATCATGGGCTGGTGGTGGCTACAGCCACCGTTGTGAGGGGTTTGTCTTCTGTGCAGCTCTCGGTTTCAGCGAGCGGGCACCAGAGCGCCGCTGCGCGTACTCACGGGGCGCGCCACGGGGAGGCGGCTGCACGTCGCGCCCCACGCACCTGGTTTTGTCGTCCAGACACCTGCGCTGGAAAATGGTGTCTGCAGGAGCAGCAACATCCCCGGCCCAGCTCAACCCCAAATGACACACGCATACCCCTGGTCCCGATAAGAACCCCCGGCGCGTTTCGCAGCCCAAACCTTGAGCCTACCACCGAACGGCAGAAAGGCTGACAAGGTCAGGCCACTACCCACTTGGCGCAAGCGGCAGGACTGCGCATGGTGAAGGCGCAGCCCGACCCAGCTCACGTGCAAGGGGCGCCGGCGCCCACCCCCTGATCGGGGAACCGCTCAGTGAAGACGCGGTCGATATGAACCAGGCCGAGCGCACCCGGACGCTGAAATTCACCGTGGACTTGTGAAGAGCTTGCACGCATAGCATGCAGGGGCAGGACAAGGAAGGACGGTACGCAGGGAGTGAGGGAGGACTCAAGGGGGTGTTGCTGTGCTGCCCTCGAGCCGATGACGTCGGGCTTGGCCAGATGCCGCAGCAGCGTTGTTGGGGGCTTCGATGCTTCTTGACTGTGAGGGAGGTGTGTGGAGAAGCATGGCAGGCAACGGACACTGTGCGGCGCCCTGCTTGTGCCAGGTAGCAGCAGGCGCGGCAGTGCAGCACGAGCATCCAGGGGTGCGGAGTCTGGTGCAGGTGCCGCTGGCCCTTCAAAAGTCACCTGACCTGCCAGTATGGACATGTGGTAGAAGTTGCAAGCCACGGGACAGCCACGACAGCGAGAGCTCCAACTCGTTGTTGATCATCGCTGTGTGGGCCAGATCGATGATTGACCGTACCGACTCGTATGACGATGTTCGATTTGTGAGATTGTAGTCGTGACAAACATGGTCGGGACCTTTATACCTTAGCCGGCTTCAAAAGGGGTTCCCAGCTTCCTCCCGCTTTCCCCCAGGGTGAAGGCCCAGGCTCTGGCTGCCATCGCCCACCGGACAACCGGGCAAAGCACGACTTGCCATGCGCATGCAAACGCCTGCGCTCGGTCCGCGCATGCATGCACGTACAACTGCCTGCCATGCATGCAAGCACATGTGCATCGGGCAGCAGAGCAGTACATGCTGGAGGAGTGCAGATGGGGGCACCACAGCAGCCAAACCTTCGAGGCACTTTTGGGACTGCCCTGCAATGTAAGCCACGGCTGGCAGTCATCACTCCCATGCATGGACTTACCAGGAGTGTGACATTGTCCCAGGCATGTGCAGTGGGTGTCTTGACAATGAGGAGCAGGTCGGTCTGTGGCACTCTCGTCGGACACCCCAGTCGGAATATGGGCAGCAGCATTTGCCGCTCAAACCCAAGTGGTTTGATAGAAGTCATTACTTACATACCTTGCAATTTGTTTTGTACGTCCTCCAATCCCAAGTGCATCGTGCCTGCACTTGACCAGCCACAGCTGCAGTGGCAGCAGGAGTGCGCGTGATCTGGAGCCTGGCTGTCGCCCGTGGGCGCAAGAGACGTGACTCTGATCTACGTCAATTGCCTTCTGGTGAGGCTGCACGTCCCTGACAAGAACGGGCTCAAGGGTCGCGAAGCCAGGGTTGGCCGCGAGCGCAGGAGCGGCTGGGGTTTTGTGACAGACAACCCACAGATGCTTATGGGTGCCTGTGATCGCGATTCATTACTATGCAGCCCCGCGATAGCCGCTGCCGCCGCGTTGATACGTTGCGCCAGCGCGGCGGTTGATGCCGCTCACTGCACAGCAGGGGTTCAGCTGCCCCTGGTGGCATTTTGTAGCATGTACACACCAGGTGCAAGGACGATCCACGCTGTTCGCAAGCCCGGCTGATCCTGCATGCTCGGCACTGCCATGCAACACCAATCCCCATAGTTGACCAAGTTTGACCAAGAACAGGCCAAAAGATGACGTCAAGGGTCAACCCTCGAACGCTCCGCAGGCAGCAGGCTGACTTGGTCAGGTGGGTCATCAATCTAGCCACTGGTCCATCCTCCCGCCAGGGGTGCTGCTCACTGCCATTGGCGAGCTGAGGGTGTGGGCGTTTGAGGCCGGGCTGCATGGGTTGGCGCATGCACTCAACCGTCGCCATGCTGGTCGTTGTTTGAGAGATCGCATGCACTTGCCTCTCACAGCACAAGCATCCAGGACAGCTGTGCAAGCCGATGGCAGCATGCGCAGTACAGCTGTGCACATCCCGCCGCAATCCACTGGTGCAGCCGCCCATGCGTCCACTCACTGATCCCCATGCATGCAGGGCCCAGCAACCGCCCGCTTTGCCGTCAGACTCGACCTCAGAGGAGCCGTCGACGTCTACCGGAACCGCTCCCGACCTGCCCGCAAAGCGGCTATGCTTCGACAAGGAGAACACAACGCCGACATCGCGCAGCACCGCCGCCAGGCTGGGCCTGGACCACACGCCGAAGAGCGCTCCGAGGTGTGCTGGTTGGCTGCGGAAGCAACGTGGGGTGTCAAACGGCAAGGGGTTGAATGCGGGTGCGACATCGTCACCTTTGCCGCCTGCTATATATCGCAAAGCCTGCTTTTGCAAAGCTAGCAACAGTCAGGCACGACGTGCTGTAGACGTATGCGGCAAGGCCAGTATGTGTGTTTGTTCCCACAATTGCAATGCTTAAACCGCAGGGACAGCGCAACGAAGGTGCTCAACGGTGGCGACGGCAGTGCTGGCGACAAGGGCAGCGGCGATGAGAGGGACGGCGTTGTCCCTTTTGGCATTCCTGTGATCAACCCCTCGACCCGCCTGCTACACGAGCTGCTGCCTCCGCCGGGCTGCTCCCCCACCCTGGGCTCTCCGCTGCCCGGCTCCTCTGGCTATGCCGCCTACGGCCAAGGGTTTGGCGCGCACAACGCGCCTCGCTACAGCAGCAGCTTCTTGGCACCGCGGCAGCAGCAGCAGCAGCAACAGCAGCAGCAGCAGCAGCAGCAGCAGCAGCAGCAGCTGTCCCCCCTGGGCCGCCCGCCCTGCGTGGTCAGCCCCGCCAAGGCAGCGCCCCTGCCGCCGCTGCCGGCCGCGGCGCCAGGTGACCTGACCTTTTCGGGCGACCTGGGCAACCAGGTCAGGCTGCGTCCCAACAGCGCCACGCTGCGCGTGCCCAACGCGGCCCAGCTGCTGCTGGCCAATGTCGGCGTGAGCGGCGGCTTCTTTCAGTCAGGCGATGATCTTGCTGCGCGGCTCACCGGCGACGCTTGCTCGTGGCTACAGTTCATGGAGCGGGCAGTCATGGCCCGGCCTCTGCTGGAACGCAACCTAGCTGCGGTGTGGAGGAGCAGCGTGCAGAGCGGATGGTTCATAACGTTCGCGGCTGGCGCCTCCTGCAGCTCTGGCGGTGGCGACGCGGCGCCGCAGCCGCGGCCGGCAAAGCGCCCCGCAGACTTGCGGGGGCTGTGCGACCCCTGGCTTGGCGGCAGGCTGGCTGTGCTCGGGGGCCCGCTGGAGGAGTCCTGCGAGACCGTGGTGGAGCTGGACAAGCGCCCGGGAGGCGGTGACGACTTTGGCCGCGTCGACTTTGTGGTCAGCGTCCAGGTCCCCAAGGGCGCCGACTTTGCCGAGGTTCAAAAGTGCGGCGACGCGGCGGTGGTGGTGGAGGTGGCTCTGGCGGTGCTGATCCACGCGGCGCTCCTGGCGCGTGCGCGTCGCAACAGGCGCAAGCTGCTGGCAGAGGTGGGGGAGCGCGCCTGGTGGCAGGAGGGGTGGCGGTACGTCGTGCTGGACACGTTGACGCTCGCCGTCCCCATGCCCCCGACCCTCATTGAGGCCCTGAAGTGGGTCCTCGCAAAGGCGGGGGCGGACCTGGCGTCGCTGGGGCTGCCCGCGGCGCGCCTGGGCGACCCGGTCGCGGGGGAGGTGGCCGGGGCGGCGGGGGCGGCGGTGCCAGCGGCAGCGGGCGGTGGGCCGGCACAGGGGCCACCTGCGCCTTGAATCTCACCAGCCGTGTGTGACACAGGGTCGCGAGGAGGGCGGAGGAGATAAAGGATGCTCGCCTCGGCCTTGATGCTGCACAGGGTTCACAACTGTGCGATTTTCACTGCACACCAATCACCCTGCTCCCGGCTGTCACTTGCTTCCATGATCCCTTCGCTCAAAGAGTGTGTAAGAACGCATTGCTTGCACCTGTAATCTTCCTTGGATTGGGTTTCGCTGAGCTCATGTGGCGGCTGGGTGAACTTAAGACGGCACTGCTGTTCCGATGGCCCTACGTGCCACGTCCGGCACTGCGCAGCAGTCACCAGCGCCCTGGCGTAGTCGCTTACTCCTGCTGGCCTATGACAGCTATCACAGTGTGCGTCAGGGGTCGAGGGTTGAGCTGACATGCTCAGGGTGGTCTCCCTCGCGTGTGCATACGGTACTGATACTGACACTGCTTGCCACCGGCACTCGTTGCGTCCGGTGTCATCATTACTACCTTGGCCAAGGTAATCTGGCAAACGAGTACCCGCCTCTGTCTGCATGGATGTTTTATGTCGTACAATGCGTTACTTTGATGGTCTTGCACACACCGTTGGCGAGTGTGCCGTATCAAGCTCATCTCTTGTCAGCCGGCATCGTCCGGGCCGTTTGGGCCCGCGCGAAGGCGCCAGGACCAACATAGATTACATCTATTCGGCTCTAAGGCAGCAGCGGGGCACGCGGCTGGCCAGCAAAGCGTGAGCGCGACGGGCGGCGCATTGGCGCACGTGGTGCGTGCGAGGCCTGCGACGCACCACGCGCTCGCAATCAGAGAGAGGCTTCTAGGCCTGAGACTGCATGATGGTTGTGATGACACAGTTCATGCCATGGGGGACCGCGTGAGCGGCGGTTCGCGCCGACGCTCACCGAAGTGTTTTGCGCGCGCTGCAGGATCATCCGGACCAGCAGCGACTGTGAGTTCAGGGAGATCAGCGCCCCTGAGACACCATGGTGGGTTGGGCTCGGCGGCTGTCGCTATGCACGGCTGGTGGCACCGTGGCTGCCTGGCCGCGGCATGGTGGCAGCGCACTTACCCCTCACCTGTCGTGACCCATGAATTGTCAGCCTCACGCTGTGGCTGTTGAGGCGTTTGCAGCTCAGACGGCTTTCAATCAGCCGCAACTACAAGGACAGGGCAGGCCTGGCAGCGCCCTGGACTGATGGCATGTTCTTGAACAAGCAGCTGTTTGTGGGCGCTCCCAACAGTCAAGACACCGCCCAGCCCGAGTGCTGATCGGCGGCCTGGACTTTCCATGGTCTTGCTGTGCACGCAGGTGTGTGAGAAGTGTGAGAAGAAGCTGACCAAGGTCGCTTGCCCTGAGAAGTGGAAGGAGGGCACAGACAAGCGCAAGGTGCGGCGTGCCGCGCGGCTCTGCAGGGGGGCCTTCGTATAGTGTGTGGCAGGCAGTCCAGTGGGATGCGATCTGCCAGACGCGTCATGCAGATGTACGACCTGGCACGCGCACACTTTGAAGCTGCTGTGACCCGCCACGTGTCGTGCGCTTGGTGCTTCAGAAGTGATGTGTCCGCTCCGTGTGCTTTTTAGGGTGCAATGTGGAGGCCTTCCAGTGCCCCTCACTCTGAATCGGGTTGCAGCATGGTATTTCTTTTTGATCAGCTACAAGCTGCACCTGTGTTCCCTAGACCCATCTTCTCGTATGCGCGTCCTCCTGCCCCCAACCTGCACAGGTGAACCAGAACAAGCTGCTGAACAAGGACAAGAGGTTCACCCCATACGGCGCAAACGCAAAGTGCAGGATCTGCAAGCAGCAGGCGAGGCTTGTGGTATCTGCAACTTGGCGGGCAAGGTGGGCCCTGTCGCCGTGATATCGGCCAGTGCAAGATGATGGGCAGTCTTGAGTGTGTTTGGCAGCAGCTTCACTTCCAGCGGATGTTGGGGCCATCCATGGCCAGCGGCGCCGACCTTTTGCGGAATCGGCCGCTGCATGAAACAACTTGGCGCGGGCAGCTATGTGCCTGCAAAACCACTTCTGCACCACGCTGTTCCGCACGCCGCTATGTGCCTGCAAAACCACTTCTGCACCACACTGTTCCGCACGCCGCTTTGCCCGCACACAAACAGGTTCACCAAGGTGACGGAATGTACTGCCATGCATGCGCTTACTCCAAGGGTGAGGACTGCCTAGGACCAGCCCGTCTTTGCTGCCTGAAAGGGGCGGTGTTTGCGGGCCTGGGCGCCCGCCACGCATGTTGATCGCCCGAGGCCCTCCTGCTCGCAACGATTGTTTCTCGCCTGTGCGTTTGTGGCGCTGTTCCAACGCTGATGTTTTTGCAACCTTTTTGACACCCTTGTCTTCCCCAGGCCTATGTGCAATGTGCGGCAAGCAGGTGGGTGGATCCCCGCTTTGCATGTTTGGGACTTCCAGGCATTTTTGCTCCGGGTTGAGGGTATCGCTTAGCCTTCCCCCACCTGTGAGACAGGCTAGCATATTGTTCAAGCCCATGACACCATTCCAAGCACTGACAAAGCCTTGTCGCCTCTTGCACTGTGCCCTCACCCTTGCGCACTCAACCCTGTGACCTGTCAAACAGATCCTTGACACCAAGTCCTACAAGCAGAGCGCCAAGTAGGAGGGGCAGGTTCGCCTGGGTGCAAGGGCGCAAATTTACCTTTGTTGGCAGCCGCCAGAGCGAGCAGCGGGCCCTCTGTCCCTGCCGCTTACCTGGCTTGTCATTGCTGGGCACGCCGAGGCAGCGCATGACCACCCACCAGCATTTGGCCAGCTTCATCAGTTGACCTGTAGACAAGTAACAACATCAAGTCAATTGTGGCGGATGTGATGCAGACCCAGGCTTGCGGCTGTGCCTGTGCATTTTGATGTGGCAACGCTGCAGTAGTGGTCTCCCGTTCAGGCAGCAACATCTGGAGGGAATCAGCCAGCGTAGTCAGGCATTGCGTCAATGGACACCTCAGCTTGTTGTTTGGCCTAGCGCGCATCGTCACTTTGCCCTGGCTCGTCGCCTGAGCTGTCACTTGGTGCCTGAGCAACAGCTTGTCCTTGCAGGGACAATCTGGTACGTGCTGGCGAGTTTTCAGCCGCACGCGTGTTGAGGCATCCTACATTTTGACAAGACCAGTACTTTTTCAAGGTATCGTGGGTAGCCCGCATGGCCTCACAAGATCAACAGCCAAAACTTGGTGCATTTCAGGCCTCTAGCTGCCACCGCAAGTCGCCAGTAGGATGACCCAACTGCTTCTGATTGGCGGCCAGCAGCGGGTACCTTGCAACCTGGCAAGGGGAGCACCCACACAGCTGCTGGAGCAAGGAAGTGTCCAGCTCTGCAGCCGGCGATGGCTCTCTGGCCGCGCTGCTTTCGCGCGTCTGTGCGGCTGCCATTGGGAGGTTTCAACTCCCATTGGCATCTCGGCTGTGTTGGCCGTGCTTCGGCGGGCATGTGAAACTCGCTGGGATGAGTCCACATGGTTGGATGTGACATGCATTTGCCATGGCAACGTGCTGCACTACGCGGTGTGAAACATGTGCCTGTTTATTTATTGGTGCTGGTGGTGCTGGAAGCGTCCATCCCAGTGCATCGGCCAGTCGCCTCGCAATCCCGTGGGGTGCCTCTTGTGCAGTCACCGTAGTGACACGCACCCTGCTGACGCCTCGAGTTCACATTTGCTCCCAAATGGACCAGGCAACATGCCTACATACGTGCATGCTCAGCACACACTCAGTAAACAGCATCGCGCACATGCACGTTGGTTGTGCGCGCGTGGCGCTCACTGGTCGAAACAAGGTAGCCCAACGAGTTGGTGATGATGTCAGCTGCCCAACTTACTCATCCAATCCCGTGGAAGCAAGAAGGTTGCTGGGGTCAAGCGAACTACGTGTGGCTTCCTTCCTTAGTTCTCGTCCAATCGACGTAGTTTGTAGCTCCTACCTCAGCATTGCCAGCCGCCGCAACCTGCCAACAAAATGGTGCGCCGCTCGGCAGCGCTTGCGCAGTGCGTTGCTAGCTGAAGCTCTCCGTGCCGCCCTTCCCACAGTGCAAAGGATTGTGCGAAGCCTGAAACCTCTCCGCGCCTTGCGTCCCGCTCCTGCCGCGCAGTTCCAAATCAGGGCCGACCCTCGCAAGGCTGCCAAGGAGCTGAACAACAACCTCCTGTTGTTCGCTACCATCGTGCTGACCTGCCGTCTGTCGACCTACATCCTCAGCCTGAACTCCAAGCTGCAGTGATCTCGCGGGGTGATCTGCACAGCGCGCCCGCGCCACTTTACCATGTCAGCTGCTGGCAGCCAGCCGGAGGCCTCTGTGGCAGCGGCGGGGAAGTCTGAGGCAGAGGGCGAGGTCAAAGCGAATGCGCGACGAAACAGCAAGAAACGCGGCGATCGCCGCGTTGCGCACGTCGACGAGGTGGCCGCAAAGCCTGAGGACTATGTGCACCTGATCCCATACAAGAAGCCCGCCCTTGACAAGGAGGGCTGGCGGCCGGTCGCTTTGTCGAAGGCTGACCGCGCGCCGCAGCTGCAGCTGAGCGAGGACCGGCTGTCGGTGACTGGCCACAAGGGGTACCGCCTCATCCGCGCGACGCACGGCGCGCACGAGGGGACGTGGTACTGCGAGGCCACCATCACTCACCTTGGGGAGACGGGTGAGCGTTTTCTGGCGTGAAGGGGGGGGGGGGGCTGGCCGGGGCGGACGCGATAGCGTTAGCCAAGGGGGCGCGGCTTGATGGACAAACAGCACAGTGCGGACTGCGACTAAGTTGAAGCGCAGCAGCTGTCGCAGCTGCGCGAGCGGCTTCGCAGCCACGCTCCAGAGGCCTAGCAGTGCATGGGAGCGGGTCTGGTTGGTGCCGAGGGCTGGCCCAGGGGCGTCACATTCCCTCGTCACCAACCTGGCAATTCTGCGACCGCCGCTCGACAGGCCACTGCCGCCTGGGCTGGGCGACCTCCAAGGCAGAGTTGCAGGCGCCTGTCGGCTTCGACGCGTTCGGCTTCAGCTACCGCGACGCAGAGGGCTCCAAGGTGAGCTGTGATGCGGCAGCTCCATCTCGGGGCGGGTGCTTTTTTTGGTGCACGGGTTTTATGTTTGTGTGCAAACAGCTTCAGGTGACCTTGCGCTATTGAACTGCGCTGCTGTCCGTGTTGATGACGCCATGATAAAAGTTTGAGCTGCGATGCTTGGTCAAGTTGTTCAGCTGCGTGTTCCCAGTAATCATACAGAAATTTGGCACCTGCAACCATCGACGCATGCCAGGTGTCCAAGGCGCTGCGCGAGCCATACGGGGAGCCGTACGTGGAGGGTGACGTCATCGGGCTGCTGCTGCACATGCCGCCTGGCGGCCGCAGCATGGAGGCGGCAGACGCAGAGGTGGTGCGGTGGAAGGGCGGCCTGTACACGGTGCAGGTGGGTGCCTTTTGTGGCGGGAGGGTTGCTTGAGGATGGCAGTTGGGGGTTGCTGTGGTGGTCGGGTGCTTGGGAGAGGGGCAAGGCACTGGACAGTGTGTTGCGGAGTTACACTGGCGCCGATTCTGGGGCTGCTGGTGTTCAAGTGTTGGGAGCTAGGGGCTGGTAGTCTCCTCGCGCGGGCGTGGGTTCTTGAGAGACGCTTGCTTGTCTCATTAGAGTCAATGCAGCATGCGTGGGCGCCATGGGTGAGGGCAGGGCGGGGCATGCTGTGGTCGGCGGATAGGGCACCTCCCTCGACCGCAGCTGAGCCTGCGGCCGGCAGCAACCCCAGCTCCGACCCCACCGCGGCCGCCGTACCCCGAGCTGAGTACGGTCCCGTTACAGTATTGTACCCTTCTTCCGCACCCTCTTGATGGCACACTCATGACCCATCACACATCCGCCCGCGCGCAGGACGACAGCGAGAAGGAGGCGCAGCCCCTGCCCGGCAGCGGCGTCGCCTTCGCCCGCAACGGCGCCCTGCAGGGCGTCGCCTTTGCCGACATCCCAGAGGGCACCTACTACCCGGCAGCTTCCCTCTACACGCGCCACCGGCAGTCTGAGGGCGCGACCGTGGCGTTCAACTTCGGACCGGCGTTCAAGTTCGCTCCGCCGCGCGTGGACGGGTGGCCAGAGGCGCGCCCGGCCAGCGAGCTGGCCGGGGACCCACCCGCGGCCACGGTGGCGCCCGGCGGCGGCGCGCAGCCGGCAGGCGGGGCGGCGGCCGCACCATCGATGGCGCCGCCAGCTGCAGGGGCTGCATGTTGAGTGGTTCGGTGCTTTATTGACAGCGGCAGCGGCGATTGCAGCAGCATGCTATGCCAGCAGCAGCAGCAGCAGTAGCAGTGGCAGCAGTGGGGACAGCTCAGTATCCATCCACATGACTTTCATTGGTCACAAAGGTCGGGCGGACGGCGCACTGGAATTTCATTTTTCAGTTATAGTGGGGGTGGTATCAGGGCACCCACGTTAGCTGTTGTGCCTCGCAACTTGTAAGTCAGTCCGCGCGGGCCCCTGCTTTAACGCTACGCCTCTGCGCCTCATTGAAGCTGGCACTGGTGCTGGAGAGTGCCCCTGCAGCTGCTCAGAGTTTTGAACAAATCAGGGGGTTCTAAAAGCCGCAGATGAGGGCGCAGTTGAAAGACAGGGGAGCTGGGGATGGCAAACAAATGACTTCGTGGCCTTCCCGGCGTTCATTAAGGATGCACGCGCAGCACTGCTAGGTCTGATGCTGCCGCTGGATGGTGCCTTGGTGCTTGCCATCGTGCTGCCTGAATAATGTTGAGTGTTCTAAGGCATGACCTTGGCTGGTCAACGCACCAAATATTTGCAAGGATGGCAGGACAGCCCTGTGGTACCAGACCAATCATCATCTCGCAAGGTCCAAAAGTACAGCAGCCTTTGCAAATTCAGGCGCAAACACTCACACGCACACTCCCTCGCCCCTCTTTCCCTTTCCCCTCTCCCCCCTCCCCTCTCTCGCCCTCTTTCTCTGTCTCTCTTATACAAACACGCATGTGCACACACGCGCGCGCGCACACACACACACACACACACACACACACACTCACACTCACACACACACACACACACACACACACATGGATGTGAAGCATGTCCCCCGTCTATCAACTTGATCCAGCTGCGTCACAGGACAACTGACTATGCTTTGCATTGACAAGGAGTGACAATGGGTGGCCAAGAAGCCAGTTTCGGGGCACACCGCAGCAGCGCTGACTCAAGCTCTTGCCAGCGTGTGAGCCTTTCCCACAATCATCGGTGCTGGTCATCATGAGCTCCGCGGCGCCCACTGGCAAGTCCGGTCGTCCTGTCACAGCTTCTGATGTACTCAACCTGGCCATTGGGTAATCACTGGCTGTTGATGAGGCACGGCACAACCAGGGCAGGTTGACCAATGCTGTCTGCCGCCCAGCGTTGACTGCCCCTACCAGCATCGCCCCTTGGTGGCTAGGATGCTCGTCAACGCAAGAGAACTTGTAACGGTTGATCGCTTGGCACGCTGTTTCTGTCCCAGCTCAGCAAGCCCAGCACGAGCAGCACACAGTGGGCAGGCTGAACCTCGACGAATCTCGTGGGGACAAGGCGCCGCGCGTTGTCCAACCGTGCGCCTTTGCTTTTCAATCCACGGAACCTGTCAACAGACCGTTACAGTCCTGCGTGACCATCATGGCCCTCCTCGCGAAGCAGCAGATCACCGTGGGCAAGGCGCCCACGGCCCGGAAGAGCGCGACCCGCGTGGTCGTTTGCAGGGCTAGCAAGGCCGCTGACGCCGAGATGGTAAGCTCCCTACGCAATGGATCTCCTGTGATGGAACTTGGGGTCACCCCAGCTCAGCTTATTGCCGCTACGCAAGATCGCGTGATGCGGATGCACCATAAGTCTCACACATCGCGTTCGCCCCCTCCAGCCCCGCCGCGCTGCCCTGGGGATGCTGGCGGGCGTCGCGGCGCTCGCAACTGGCGCCGCCCCCTCGTTCGCCGCGTACGGTGATTCCGCCAACGTGTTTGGCAAGGTCACCAACAAGTCAGGTGGGTCGGAGCTCAGAGTGCTAAGCCAACACGGCCCCTCTTGACAACCCGAGCGAGGCGTCACGGCGCGCCACATGGGCACCTGTGCTGGACAGGGCGGACGCTGCGCAGAGGGTCCTTTTCTGGGGCAGCCACGCAGCACTACCGCACTGCCGTGGCCGTGCACACACCACAGCGCCATCGCCCATTGCGCTTGCGCGCGCGCCCCTCCTCCCCTCCAGGCTTCATCCCCTACTCTGGCGAGGGCTTTGCCATCCTGCTGCCCAGCAGGTGGAATCCCAGCAAGGAGCAGGACTACGGTGCCTTCGGCAAGACCGAGCTCAGGCGCGCACAGGGGGGATGAGGGACCGACGGCGGCGCGCCTCTGCACCCTGCACGCACGCGCGCGGCGTGGCCACAGCAACCGATCCAGGACCGCTGCCGCTGCTGCCCCTCTCGCTGCCAGCACAGTGGCTGCGGCTCCAGCACACTTGCGCCCCGCCCCATCAGCTCTCCCAACGGCCGCGCCCCGCCGCCTCCCGCGCCCCTCCCTCTTGACGCCCCACAGGTATGAGGACAACGGCGACTCAGTGAACAACGTCGTCGTGCTGACTCAGCCCGCGGACAAGGGTGACATCACCAGCTACGGCGCCCCTGAGAAGCTGCTGCAGGACCTGACCTTCCTGTTCGGCCGCCAGGTGCGAGAAGCTGGGGGGCAGCTGGGCAAAACGCAGAGGAATACATGACGAAGCTGGGTGACAAAGCTGGGAGGCAGACCAGCACGGAGATCATCCTCAAGGGAGAAAGGGAGAACTAGAGGGGCAGGCGCCCTACGAGGTGCATCGAGCAGCCCGCCGCGCCGAACCCCACTTGCGAATCTTTTGCTGGTGCAGCCGCAGCCGCAGCCGCAGCGGGACGGGCGCCGCCGCCGCACGGGAGGCGACGCCGGGTCGTCCCCCCCTCCCCAACATACACAAACACCTCTCCCGCGCGCCCCCTGACAGTCGTTCTCCGGCGAGACTCTGTCTGAGGGCGGCTTTGCCCCCGGCAGGGTGTCTGCGGCCAGCCTGCTGGACGTGAGCGAGGCCATCGACAAGAAGGGCAAGAAGTACTACCGGTGAGGGGGAGAGTTTGGGGGGGGGGGACAGGGTCCCAGGCTGGGCCAGTAGATGGGCATGAAGAGCCAAGGAGGTGGGGATGCAAGCGGGTGACAAACTCAGGGGCACACTCCTAAGGGACGTCGCGGCCTCTGGCAATGGTGCGTTTATACAGGCCGTCTGAGCCGCCGGCTGCGGCATCGAGCCTTGCGTCTCTATGCTATTCCTCACGTCACCGTTTTCCTGTCATCTCATTCCCCCCTAATGCCAGCTACGAGGTGCTGACCCGCTCCGCCGACGGCGACGAGGGCGGCAAGCACAACCTCATCAGCGCCACCGTGTCAAACGGCAAGCTGTGGATCTGCCGCGTCCAGATCGGCGACAAGCGCTGGATCAAGGGCGCCAACAAGGACGCCCAGGGCGCGATCAACTCGTTCACCGTTGCTTGAAGCGCAAACAGTACACGTTGACCAGGCCACACACGTTTTTTGACCGAGCGGCGGCGGGGCGGCCCGTAGGGGCCATGCGGCACCCCCGCGGGCGCCGCTCTTTCGCCAGGGAACGCGCTCGGAGGCAGCGGCGGCTGCGATACTTGCGTTGTCGACGGCAATCTGGCAGGCAGCTCACCTTTGAGAGTACCAGGGCGCTTTTTTCCCGAGTTGAAGCGCGAGCGAGGCTGTGCAGGGCACTTGCGTGGGTGCCCGGCAGTGCCAGTTGTAAGTTGCGAGCGATACCCCCAGGCTCATGACGCCTACCAATGAATGTAACCTGTCTTGCGGTGTCTCACACACGAGCATGTCAGGCGTCGCGAGTTGTGATGCGGTAAACAAGGGTGGACACTCTGACAGCTCGCTCAGCCTTGCTGCTGGCAACATCACTTTTGACCAGCTGGCACAGCAGCACGGACGGCTAGAGAAACGGAACACGCCAATTTCGGTTCAACGTGTACCTTGACGTGTGCAAGCGCCGTCTCGGGGCGGGGATGAGTGACCAGATCAGTGCAATGCGTGGGCTCTCATTGTAGAGTCGTCCCCTTTTAACTCATTCAAATTCAGCGTCGGATTGAGATTACGTCCACATTCGTATGATAACAAGCTGCACTCGCCCAAGCACTGCCACCAGGTTTCAAAATCCAAGTCCGATTGCAATGGCTATGCTGGAAAATCCATCGCTAATGCGCAGCATCAGCGGACTTCGCAGCCCAGCGCCTTGCGCCGCCCGCAGCATCGTCGTCGCTGGGCGGCGCTTTGCCGCCCCTGTCGCCAAGGCGACGACGAGCGCCGCCATGGCCCCGGCCCCTCGGCTCGCATCCAGGCGCGGCCGCGTCGCAACTGCCGCTGGCATTGACCTGGACGCGCTCGGGCTTGATATCCCCGACCTCGGGGATGAGGTCAGGGGCCACCAGGAGGCCCTGGGGGCGACATTCAACGTGAGGCGCCTTCGGCCGCTGAACAGCACTGGCAACCACGAATGCTCAGCAGGGCAAAGGGCGGGGCCCCTTTCTTGAGATTCAGCAGGGTCAAGGCTGTCAGAGCAGTCCGCAGCTGAGCCAAAGCAGTGGGCGTGAAGTAGTGCTGTGATTCGGAAGCAGGGGCATGGGGAGGTCCTGTGCGCACGCGGCAGGATAGGCCGCCCAGGCGTGAGCGAACACTGCTCATGTCGCTTTGCCTCGGTGGCTACCCAACCCCCGGGTGCTGCCGCGCGCCGCCCTTCTATGTTGCGCAACCCAGGCCGATGACGTGGCGGAGAGCTTCAACAACACGGGCAAGGTCCTGGAGGCGCTCACCGACGGCGTCGCGATCGTGGACCGCTCCCACTGGGGCCGGATCCGCGTGGGCGGCGCCGACCGCGTGTCATTCCTCCACAACCAGTCGACCAACGACTTCAAGTCACTCAAGCCCGGCCAAGGCTGCGACACGGTGCCTTTTCACATTTGGGGGTGGGGGGGGCTGACATGTTGGGGGAGTCGATCAGCTGGCGGGAGGGGGCAGGCTTGCTTGGTGGCCGCGCGGCTGGCAGGGCGGAGACCAGGAGTGCAAACGAGGCCGACGCTCAGTGAACATGCAGTCTGATGGGCGTCAAGCAAGCCGACCTCAAGCGCTGGCTTCCTCCATCGCGCTACGGCATCGGGCCTGCGGCTGTTGCAGGTGTTTGTGACGGCAACAGCGCGCTGCCTGGACCTGGCCACCGCCCTGGTGATGGGAAACCAGGTGGGCCGGGCCCGTTACCCACATCATGCCAGCCCAGATTGACCTGGCTGAGACAACTTGGAGATCATAACAGGCTCGCCTACCAGTTCCTTGAATTCCATCAACATTATTGGGCAGCGTCGAACAGCAAATGGGCCACACCAGCATGTGACAATCTGGCCTGCAACCGCTTTCAAGCCTCTTGTGAACCCTGTTTCCTATATATTTCAATTGTTACCGCCTCCCCAGGTGATGCTCCTGGTTTCGCCGTCAATGCTGCAGCCGCTGCTGCAGCGGTTTGACAAGTACATCTTTCTGGCAGACAAGGTCGAGGTGGGCAGCGACCAGCTTGCTTGTCCGTTCAAAGGGGCAGACTGGAAAGCTAAAGACCTCCCCCCGCCTTTGCATTTCAAAGCCGGCCTCAAGAGACCTGTTTCGCCTCCACTGCAATGCTGTAGTACCTGAACCAGTGATGCAGAGAGCACGCGTCTCGTGGCGAGCAGCGCTGAGCACACCACCCTGCATTGCTGTGCTGTGCGACACGCACACGGATGTATGCTTGGCTTGCGAATGCTGTGTCTGCCGCGCCGCCTGCGCAGGTGTCTGACGTCAGCAGCCGCTGCCGCATGTTCACGGTGGCGGGGCCCAAGGCGGCCGACACACTGCGGGAGCTTGGAGGGGTGAGGGGCCGCTTTGCTGGTCGGCCAATGGAGGGGCTGGCGGCAAGGGTCCTTGTGCCGCGCCATGCGATTCTGCGGCTCATTGGCTGACGCATCAGGAGGTGGACCGGGATCTCTCTCAGACGCGCCCTCACTAGAAACTTGCGCTGACTGCACACAGCGTTCTATCGGCTGCACACCTTATCCTGGATCTGATGATGCTGATGATGCGATGTCCGCTTCGCTGCTGATTGCGCAACACCACTTCCTGAACCATCCCTGGCTCTTCCCCCCAGGATGCGGTGACCGTCACCGGCGCCCCCTATGGCAGCCACCAGTTCCTGGGCTTCAAGCCGGGCGGCGCCCCCGTCATCGCTGCAGCCACCAGCGGCCTGGCGCTGCCAGGCTACACCCTCATTGTGGACGAGGCGGACGCGGGCGACCTCTACGCGCTGCTGGTCAACAAGGTGCTGCGGCGGATATTTGACCAGGGTTGACCGCGGTTGACCGGCGTTGTTGACCGCCCCCACCAAACGGCCCTGCCCGCACCAAGCTGCCCGGCAGCAGACCGTTGCACCATCTTTTCGATTGCCCATGCTTGCCTGTGCGCCGCAGGGCTGCGTGCCTTGCGGCGAGGAGGACTGGGAGCGGGCGCGCGTGACTCAGGGGCGGCCTAAGGCTGGCGCGGAGCTGACAGAGGTGGGGGCTGGGCAACCCTCTGGAGCCCTGCGCCGTCTACAGCCCTCTGCCACGCTCCCCGGCCCTTCTTGTACCCGGGGCTAATGTGTTGCTGTGATTCTGAGGGCCTGAGACCTGCGTCGCGGTTGCCTTGGTCTTGCACCAAAAGTTTCCCGGTCCAGTGCTAAGAAGGATGTTCAGGCACGACATGTCTGGTCAATTCCCAGATGCCAGGCCTGCCCTATCCCTCCACCCGCAGGACTTCAACCCCCTGGAGGCTGGCCTCTACCGCGCCGTCTCGGTCAACAAGGCAAGTCAAGAGATTGCCGCTCCCCGCCGTGCGCACTCTTGTGGCCCTCGCCGGTGTGTTGTGCAGCTCTCGCGCAATGCTCCGCAACAAATATAAGCGTCCCGCGCGCAACCTCGTGACCCGCACCATACCAGGGCTGCTACATCGGCCAGGAGACGATCTCCAAGCTCAACAACCTGGACGGCGTCAAGCAGCAGCTCTGGGGCCTGCAGCTTAAGCAGCGCGCCGCGCCCGGCGACGCGATCACCAACGCGGACGGGGACCGGCTGGGCGCGCTGACGAGCGTGGTCAACCTGCTGGACAGCGGCCACTTTGCGCTGGGCTACCTGCGCTGCAAGAGCAAGGGCGCCAAGGTCGACCTCAACGGTGGGGGCGGCTGGCGAGCACTGATGAGCGTCCCCAGGGGCTGTTCGGCTGGCCCTGCTGACCAGATGCAGTGCGCGACGGGTTTGCATGGCGTGTCGCTGTTTGGTCGCGGCCTCGCAAGGGGTGAGGGTGAGGCGCTGGGTTGGCCGCAAGCCAACGGCTTGAGCCGCAGGGTCGCACCGGATGCAGCACGTGTGCCACCGCCACGCTCCCAGCCAGGCTGCATTATATTGCTCGTCATCTCCCCCAAAACCAAACCACAGGTGCCACGGTGCAGGTGGGCGGCGCACCCGCGCGCGTCGTGCCCATTCCCTTCGCATCGCGGGCCTTCGCAGCCGACCCCGCCGCCACGGGCGCAGAGGCAGCCGGCGAGCAGGCAAGCGCCACCCTGCAGGAGCGCGCGGAGCAAGCAAGGTGGGTGCCGTGGGGCAGTGAACGCTGCCAGACCAAGCGGGGGCTCGGGGGGCGGAACACCTTAATTGCTGGGGCGCAGCTGATGCAAGAGACGCTGGAGCCATCATGGACTGTGTGGATCGTTCCCACGCGCTCTTCACGTGCTCTGCCGTGTGCAGGCAGGAGAAGGCGGCGGCCAAGGAGGCGGCGGAGGCGGCCAAGGCGGAGCGGTTGAAAGCCATGCAGGAGCGGCTGGCGGCCTGGCAGCAGCAGCAGCAGCAGCAGCAGCAGGGGCAGCAGGGGTAGCAGTCCTAGGTGTTGTAACAACTCAGTAAATGTCCGACTGTTCACGCGCGGCAGTCAGGTCACAACAGGTTAGGTCGCACTTAGGCAGGCAGGCAGGCTGGCTGATGAACCCGTTTCTCGTGTCTGGCAGCTGTTTCACCAGGGGCGTACTGTATGCGCTTGGGCTTGAGATGGCAGAGGTGCCTCGCCCTTGGAATTCGCCGAAGCGCAGGCAGCAGCACGCGTCCTGTGCACGCAAAGCGATGCCTGCCCCTGGGGCCTGCTGCTGCTGATGTCAATGTCAGCTGGTGCGGACGCGTTTAATTTGGCGCCGTTGGCCCTGCGTGCTCTTAGTGTGCACCAGTAGCCATAATCAATGTATGCTATATTGTGGCACCATGCAGCCTGCATCGCCCAAACACTTACACGCATGTGGCAGACAAAGGAAGAATGTATTTCGGTTATCAAGGTGAAGGCCGTGCAGTCCCCTTCACGTCAGCTCGATTTTGACCCCCGGGACCTGTGCCGTCAGCGTCTGGCAGCCCTCCCACGTGACCGCGGCCCCCGCAGGCAGGAACAAAGAGAAATCTGCTGGCAGCCGGCTGACCCGCCCCACCGCCTCGCGCGATGCCGTGAGCGGCGCCAGCAAGGCGCACACGTCCTGGCAGCACGGGCTGCGCGACTCCCCCTCGCGCGCTTCAAGTACAAGCACCAGCATACGCAGGCACGAGAACATGTGCAGGCACAGCAGGGTGCGGGCCGCGTCAGGCGCCGGGTCGGCCTCGCAGCCCGCCAGCCACAACACCTCGAGGCGCGCACCCATCGTCGACGCAATGTGAGGCAGCAGGCCGGAGAGGCGTATGCCGAGGCTTTGCACACCCAGGTCCAGCTCGCGCACGCAGTGCCAGCCCATCACCCACTGGTGCACGCAGCTGGGGTTGACAAACACACGCGCATCCTCAAACATGCACGCCTCCACGCTGAGGTGGACCCCGAGGTATGACTGCTCGCCGACGGTTGCGGCGAAGGCTTCTGTCTTGTCAAGGCGGCAATACCTGGGGTGGCTTTGCCCGTCGAAGTACAGCGCGGGGTGCGCCGGGTGGCTGGCAACGCCGCGTGCCAGGCTGTGCCAGCTGCTCTGCAGGACCATTTGCACTAGGCTGGGCGCGAGCGCCGCAAGATCAAAGGCCTCACCGCCGCCGTCCTTGACGTTCCCGAGGGTGAGCAAATCTAGCCTCCCAAACACGGGCGGCGCGGCTGCGCCTGCGGCTGCGGCGGGCGCGCCTCCAAGCGTGAGGTTGTCAAGCCGCAGACATCTGAGGTTGGGGCACGCCTTGGAAACTGCAGCAAGCTCCTGCGCCCCCAGCGGCGGGCCCGTCAGCTCGGCGTTGCTGGAGGCGGGTTGTATACAGAAGAGAGGAAGGGGTTCGGTCCCGGCAGAGAGATTGGGTTGAGGAGGGGCAAGGCATACGTTGTTGGTATGGGTTGCGTGCCCCAGTGCTGCAGCTGTAACAAGCGGCGGCGGTCACGAGGTCTGCGGCCCCAGGCCCCGCAGCTGCACCCACCATGCACCGACGAGCTCGAGGCTCCATAGGTCTGGCAGGACGCCCGCGCCGCGCAGCGACGCCACCTGGCCGCCCACCGCGCAGTCCCTGAGCGTGAGCCGCCGCAGCCCGCGGCAGGCCCCCAGGGGCAGCAGCGGCTCGTCCGCGCCCACGCTGAGCTCGAGGCTCGTGAGGCCCGGGAGTGCGGCCACCGCCGCCGCAGCCGTCACCTGCAGCTCCGAGAGTTCTGGCCGGTGCACGCGCTCCAGCCATGACGGGAACGCGTTCACCAGCTGCGGGGTTGCGGCGGTATGCCCACATCGCGCGCATGCAGGCGAGTTTGCGAAGCTGTTGGCGGTTGGACGGCACCCATGGCATCGACAATCAAGCAAGGCAGGCAGGCACACTTGCCAGCTGTTTGGCGCCCAACCCCCATGCCGGCGAACAACCTGTCATGCCTACCTTCAGGCGTCTCAGCTTGTGCCTCTGCAACACCGTCATCAGACGGCGTCTGAAGTCCTCGTCGCAGCCGCTCCTGAGGGTCAAACTCAGCGACAGCCTCGAGAGTGAGGCCGCACAGGCCAGCGCCTCCACGACCGAGGCGCGCCGGTCCCCGCTGCCGGCGGGCGCCCCGGCGGGCGTCAGACTAGGGGCAACGTGCAGTCCCTGCAGCTCCTTCAGGTTCGGGCAGAGCGCCACCAGACGCGCCAGCGCAGCCGGGCTGATGAGCGCCGCAGGCTCCTCCTCATGCCCAACCAGCGTCAGCAGCGTCACTGACGGCCACACCAAGCTGGGCTGCAGGGCCTTCAGCGCCTGCTCTAGCTCGGCATCCTGCAAATCGTATTTGACACTCATGATCTGCAGCTCGTTGACAGAGGGGAACCGCTCGATGGCCGCTGCCAGCACCGCTGGTGGGGCCCCTGCTGACCCGCCGACGGCGATGCGCCAGATCCGCGCCTCTACCAGACAGCATGCGGCATGGCTTGCGAGCCTCAGTTGCGAAAACGAGACTGAGTCGATGCAACAAGCCAACGCATCGAGTGCTGTCTGAGGCAGCTCCAGCAGCCGCGAGCTGGCCATATTTTGAATGGCGCGCGCAGCGACACCGACCCCTCAACAATAAAACTGGAATGAGGGGTGAGATGAATAACTTGTAGGACACGATACCCAATTGATTGCCGGTAAGCCGCTGATCAAGCAAAACAGTGCTGACAGGTCGCGCCCCCCCCCCACCAACGCAACCATCAAACCCCCGGCCGCATGGGCGCTCCTCTGGCGCGAGTGTCTCCGGCCGCCACTCGCACACGTATGTCACACCGAATCCTTGCAAAATCAATGCATGCATCGCCTGGGGCATACCGTACCTTGTGTGCCAGCCACTGCTGCCGCTGTTGCAGGCCCCTGCTTCCTGCCTGTCAGGGCCCCAGCCCGTCAGCAGCAGGTTGCTTGATGGACACATCAAACCTTCAAACCCGCCACCCACACCACGAGGCAGCCGGGAATCAGGCGCTTCTCCACATCTCCGTAGGCGGAGCTATCAAGAGCCCGTGGGACCAGCGTGCACGTTAAGCGTGGCTGCAGCACACAGCCGGCAGCAGCTGAAGCCGCTGTTGCGCTGTTGACCGGGAGGCGGGGCCCCTGCTCGGCCTGGTAGTCAGCAATAACAAGGGCTGAGCAGGGTGGTGGTCGACTGACCTCGGCAGCTCTTGTAGTGTTGTGAATGACTGGGGATTACAGAGATCTGGTCACAGTACATGCAGGCCCAGATCATCACAGTACATGCAGGCCCAGATGGTGGGGTGTATGCTTGCGCTTCACGGCTTGAATCACGCTGCTCCCGACGCCTGATTCCCGTGGCAGGGATGTATTCAATCATTCCTTGCGTGAGTTTGAATACATCAATTCAAATGAAAAGTCGGCAGGTTCATGTGAGGGGGAGGATTGCTTGCAAGGGCGTGCACCTGATGACGTCATCGCCCACCGCAATCTCCACAAATGTCGCCCGTCCCCTCACGCATGTGATCCCATTGCGAGGGATACGGGTCAGACATTGGCTTAGCTGCGTGCCATCGGCACAAATGTGGGTGGTGCTGGCTGCAGCACACATGCCTCCGCCACACCCTTGCGGGGCTGCATCTACTTTGCTCTGTGTTTCTCCCACCCCAAAACCAAACCTCAGGTGCGACGGTGCGGGTGGGTGGCGCACCTACGTGCGTTTGTGTACTTCCCCTTCGCTTCGTGGGCCTTCGCGGCTGACCCTCCCGCCGCGGGCGCAGAGGCAGCCGGCGAGCAGGCGAGCGCCACCCTGCAGGAGCGGGCGGAGCAAGCAAGGTGGGTGCTGTGCGTGGGGCAATGAATGCTCGCTGCCAGACCAAGCGGGGGCTCAGGGGGCCGAACAGCTTGGTTGCTGAGGCGTGACGCATGCAAGAGACGTTGGAGCCATCATGGGCTGTGTGAACAGTTCACATGTGCCGTTCACGTGCTCTGCCGTGCGCAGGCAGGAGAAGGCGGCGGCCAGGGAGGCGGCTGAGGCGGCCAATGCCAAGCGGCTGAAAGCCATGCAGGAGCGGCTGGCGGCCTGGCAGCAGCAGCAACAGCAGCAGCAGGGGCAGCAATCGTAGGTGTTGTAACCACTCCGCGAACTGTTCTACTGTACGCATGGCAGGTCAGGTCGCACGCAGGCAGGGCTGGTTTGTCAAGCCGTCGCTCACGCAGGGCAACTGTACCATGTATGCGTCTGTGCTCAAGGTGGCCGGGGTGCGCCTGCAATGCCTCGCCCTTAGCACTTGCTAAAGCGCAGGCAGCAGCACGCTGCCTCCTGTTGGCGCAAAGCAATGCGTGCCGCTGGGGGCTGCTGCCCCAAATGTCCGCTGGTGCGGCCGCGTCCATTCCTGCTTCGTTGCCCCTTGTTCACTTTGTGAGCACAAGTTGCCACCTCCATGTTTGCTAGCAACTGCCGCATGCAGCCTGGCCCTAATACAAATATGATAGAACTTATTGATCGGTATACAAGGAAACTAAGTCTCACATCCAGGTAACAATGGCTGTGCAGTCTCCTTCACAGCAGCTCGATTTTGACCCCAGGCACCTGCGCCGTCAGCGCCTGGCAGCCCTCCCAGGTCACCGCAGCCCCCGCAGGCAGGAATACAGAGAAATCCTCTGGCAGCCGGCTGACCCGCGGCGGTAACTCGCGCCACGCAGTGAGCGGTGCCAGCAAGGCACACACGTCCTCAAAGCACGGGCTGCGCGGCTCCCCCTCGCGCGCTTCAAGTTCCAGCGACAGGACACGCAGGCGTAAGAACATCGGCAGGCACAGCAGGGTGCGGGCCGCACGGGGAGCCGGGTCGGCCTCGCAGCCCGCCAGCCACAGCGACTCGAGGTGCTCGCCCATCGTCGACGCGATGTGCGGCAGCAGGCCCGACAGGCGTATGCCGAGGCCTTGCACACCCAGGTCCAGCTCGCGCACGCAGTGCCAGCCCGTCACCCACTCGTGCACGCAGCTGCGGCTGATGAGCGTGCACGTGTCCGAGAACGTGCAGGCATCCAGGCTGAGCCGGCACCCGAGACGCGACTGGTCGCCGGCGGCCGCGGCAAAGTCGTTTGTCTGATCCAGGCTGCACCACCTGGGGTGGCTGCGCCCGTCAAACCACAGCCAGGGGCGCGCCGGGTGGCTGGCGGCGCCGGACGCCAGGCTGTGCCAGCAGACCTGGAGGACCAGGTGCACCAGGGCCGGCGCGAGCGCAGCAAGGTCAAACGCCTCGGCCCCACCGCGGCCGTCCTTGACGTTCCCGAGGGTGAGCACTTGAAGCCGCCTGAACACGGGCGGCGCGGCTGCGCGCGCGGCTGCGCGCGCGGCTGCGTTGGGCGCGCCAACAAGCGTGAGGTTGTCGAGCCGGAGCCACCTGAGGTTGGGGCACGCCTGTGAGAGCACTGCAAGCTCCTGCAGCCCCAGCGGCGGGTCCACTGCCAGATCGGCGTTGCTGGAGGCGGGTTTGATGCGGAAGAGAGGGCGGGGTTGTGAGGTCCCGGCAGTGATATGAGGTTGCAGGGGGGGCGGGGCATATGTGTTTAATTTTGATCAATCAAAGTGCATGCCCCTGTGCTGCAGCTGCAACGACACGTCGCGGTGCTCACGCGGGTAGCGGCCCGAGCGCCCGCAGCTGCACCCACCACGTGCCGATGAGCTCGAGGCTCGTGAGACCCGGCAGGACGCCAGCTTCGCGCAGCGACGCCACCTGGCCGCCCACCGCGCAGTCCCTGAGCGTGAGCTTCTGCAGCCCGCGGCAGGCCCCCAGGGGCAGCAGCGGCGCAGCCGCGCCCACGCTGAGCTCAAGGCTGGTGAGGCCCGGGAGTGCCCCCACCGCCGCTGCAGCCGCCCGCTGCAGGTCGGCCAGATGCGGCCGGCCCACATACGTCATCCACGGGGGGGACGCATTCACCAGCTGCGAAATCGCGGCGGTGCGCACACGTCGCGCGCATGCAAGCGATTTTTGAAGCTGTTGGCGGTTGGGCGGCACCCACGGCAACCGGCAACCAAGCAAGGCAGGCAGGCACGGCTGGCCCGCTGTCTGGCACCCCTGCTGGCGGCAACCGCGTCATGCCCACCTTCAGGTGACTCAGCTTGAGCCCCCGCAGAGCCGTCGTCAGGTGGTTCCTGAATTCCGGGCCGCAGCCGTCGGCGGGGTCAAAACTCAGCGACAGCCTCGAGAGTGAGGCCGCGCCGGCGAGCGCGTCCAAGACCAAGGCGCGTCCGTCCACGCCGCCCGCAGCGCTGCCAGCAGCTGCCGGTCCGGCGGGCGGCGGTTTGAGTGCGATGTGCAGTCCCTGCAGCTCCTGGAGGTTCGGGCAGAGTGCCACCAGACGGGCGAGCGCGGCAGGGCTGATGGGAGCCGCAGGAGCATCCCCGTGCCAAGCCAGGGTGAGCAGCGTCACTGACGGCCACACCAGGCCAGGCTGCAGAGCCTCGAGCGCCTGCTCCAGCTCAACGGCATGCTGCTCGCTGTCGAAGCTCTTGATCTGCAGCTCGCTGACAGAGGGGAACCGCTCCACGCCCGCTGCCAGCACCGCTGGTGGGGCCCCAGCTTCCCCGCCAACAGCAATGCGCCAGATCCGCGACTCGACCAAACGGCGTGCGGCATGGCTCGTGAGCCTCAGTTGCGAAAATGAGACTGAGTCTATGCAGCAAGTCAATGCATCGAGCGCTGTCTGAGGCAGGTCCAGCAGCCGCGAGCCCGCCATTTTATTGAGAATGGCGCGCGCGGGGATACGGTCCCGCAACAACTGTACTAAGATGACGGGTGAAATGGAGATTGTGAAGGACACGACCGCCGATTAGTTGTGCCACTGATCAAGGAGCACCGTGCTGAACTGGTGCTAACAGGCCGCCACCCCTCCCCCCACCCTGGCCGCTCCTCTCGTTCACTCTGGCCGCACACGTGTCTCCGGCCGCCACTTGCAAACGTCTGTCACACATGATCCTTGCAAAATCACTGCATGCATCTTGTGGCGCATGTACCATGTGCTAGCCACCGCAGGTCCGCTGTTGAATGCTTCCTGTCCCAGCCCATCAGCAGCATGTAGGTTGGTGGACAGAAGCAACAAACCTTCAACCCACCACCCACCCCATGAGGCAGCCGGGCAGAAGGAATCTCACCACAATTTCATAGGCAAAGCTATCAGGAACCCTTGAGACCAGCGTGCACGTGAAGCGCGGCAGCAGTGCTGTACTGCCGTTGCGGCGCGCCGGTGCCCGGCAGCTGCCCTGGCTGCTGACGGCCAAAAGCGCGACGACGCTTGCGGCGCGCCATGAGTGGTTTTTGGCAAGTCACTAACGCCACGATCAACAGCGAGTAACAGCCAGGTTTCGATTGGCCTGGGCCCCCGTCGCCACCCGAGCGAGGGCTGCCCTCACAATCAGTTTGGTTCCCCCACAGGGACGCCCGCATGGTGCCCTCACGTCACCCATGTAATCGATATTACAGTACAGTGCACAGCCGTCAGCCGCGGCGGCAGCAATTACGACGTTGACCGGATGCATACATGTCTCGTTGGATGCATACATGTCTCGTTCTGGTTATAGACCCGTGGCATTTGACCATGCCAAGGCCTATCTAACAGGTGCCGGAGCATGCAACCGGGGTAAGGAGCTCGTCCTCCAATTGCGCACTGGCTCTCTCCCCCTTGCCCCGCACACAAAGAAGTTCAGCCGTAGCTGGCAGAAGGGCCCCTCTGATACTTTTCACAATTGCTACCCTGTCTGCTCAACTGGAATTGAATCAGTGTCTCGTTTTCTATTGGACTGCCCCAAGTACGAATCAGTACGTGGAGAGCTGTGGCGGCGACTGGAGGACGAGACGGCGCCTGAATGTTGCAGCAGATGCAGATTGAGAAGAAAGCTTACAAGTTGCTTACTTGATTTTGATATTCTTGGTGGCCCCTTGTTTGCTGATGATTGTTGCCCCTTATGTGTATGCTTGCTGGCAGATCCGTTGGAAGGTAAGGAATGAGGAGGTCCGCTCTGATGAGCGCGGGGCCGATGGCAGTGATGCTGTGGCAGGAGTAACTTATCTATTTATCTATCTATCTGACCGGGAGGCGGGCCTCGTGCTCGCCCTTGTAGCCCAGCAACATTGAGGGCTGAGCAGGGTGGTAGCCGACTGACCTTGCCAGCTCTTTTAGTGTTGTGCAAGACTGGGGAAACAGAGATTTGGTTACATGCAGGCCCAGATGGTGGGGTGCATGCTTGCGTTTCAAGGCATGCACGCACACAATCACGCCGCTCCCGACCTGCAACCCCTGAATGCCATGGCAGCTATACTTCTGGGAGACATATGTTGTATGACTTGAATCCAAGCATTTACATAAAAGTTGGCAGGTACATGCGAAGGCGTAAATTGCTAGTAAGGGTGTGCATCTGAACACGCGTCATCGTGCGCCCCTTGCGATCAAAACGCGCAATGAGCTGGTGGAGATCTCCGCAGATGTCGCCAGTTTCCTCGCGCATGTGATCCCATTGCACGGGACAAGGTAAGGCATTAGGTCGGCTGCGTGCTGTTGTCACAGACGTGGGTGGTGCCAGCTGCAGCACACGTGCCGCCGCCTCGCCCCTTGTCGGGGCGCATCCACTCTCTATCTCCTCCAAAACCAAACCACAGGTGCCACGGTGCAAATAGGCAGCGCACCCGTGCGCGTCGTGTCCATTCCTTTGCCTCAGGTGCCTTTGCAGCTGACCCTGCCGCCGCCGCCGCAGAGGCAGCCGTGGAGCGATCAGGCAAGCGTCCCTACAGGAGCAGCCCGCTCCTGCTTGCTGCCCCCGGAGCGAAGCAAGCAAGGTGCGTGCTGTAAGGCAATCACTGCTGCCAGTTTAAAAGGCTGCACCTGCCAAACGCAAGCAGCAACACGCTACTCCTGTCGGTGTGAAGCAACGCCTGCCGCTGTGTGCTGCTGCCGAACATGTCAGCTGGTGCTGCTGCGTCCATCCTGGCTTCGTTGCCCCTTGTGCACCCTTTCAGCACAAATGGCACTCCTCCATGTTTGCGGGCAGCTGGCACCATGCAGCCTGTAGCATTAGTTGCATAACATGTGAAATGATACACAAACGGCGGACAATCAAACAGGTCACAAGGGCTGCGCACATCAAGGTAACAAAGGCCGTGCAGTCGCCTTCACTGCAGCTCAATCTTGACCCCGGGAACCTGTGCCATCAGCGCCTGGCAGCCCTCCCACGCGACCGCGGCCCCCACAGGCAGGAACAAAGCGAAACCCTCTGGCAACCGGCCGACATGTAACGACGCCTCGCGCGACACAGTGAGCGGCGCCAGCAAGGCACACACGTCCTGGAAGCACGGGCTGCGCGGCTCCCCGTCCCGCGCGTCGAGGTCCAGCGACAGCAGACGCAGGCGCGAAAACATCGGCAGACACAGCAGAGTGCGGTCCGCGTCAGGCGCCGGGTCGGCCTCGCAGCCCGCCAGCCACAGCGACTCGAGGCGCCCGCCCATCGTCGACGCGATGTGCGGCAGCAGGGCCGACAGGTGTATGCCGAGGCCTTGCACACCCAGGTCCAGCTCGCGCACGCAGCGCCAGCCCGTCACCCACTCGTGCACGCAGCTGCGGTCGACACCCCTGCGCGAAAAGCCCTCAGACGCGCAGGCCTCCAGGCTGAGCTCGCACCCGAGGTGAGACTGCTCGCCGACGGCCGCGGCGAAGGCTGCTGTATCAGACAGGCAGCACCACTTGGGGTGGCTGCGCCCGTCGAAGTACAGCCGGGGACGCGCCGGGTGGCTGGCAATGCCGCGCGCGAGGCTGGGCCAGCTGCTCTGCAGAGTCATTTGCACCAGGGCCGGCGCGAGAGCCGCAAGGTCAAACGCCTCGGCCCCGCCGCGGCCGTCCTGCACGTTTCCGAGGGTCAGCTGTTGCAGCCTGCTGAACACGGGCGGCGCGGCTGCGCCTGCGGCCGCGGGGGCCGCGCCTCCAAGCGTGAGGTTGTCGAGCCGCAGACATTTGAGATTTGGGCACGCCTCAGAGATCACAGAGAGCGCCTCCGCCCCCAGCGGGTCCTGCGCCGGATTTTCGTTGCTGGACAGATTTTCGTTGCTGGACAGAGGCGGGTTGGATGACACAGATAGGACGGGTTTGTGGGGTACCGGCAGAGAGATGAGGATGCAGGGAGGCGGGGCATACGTTGGAATGGATCGCCTGCTCCTGTGCTGTCGCTGCGACAAGCCGCGGCAGTCACGGGGTCTGCGGCCCCAGTGCCCGCAGCTGCACCCACCATTTGCCGACAAGCTCGAGGCTCGTGAGTTCCGGCAGGATGCCGGCTTCTCGCAGCGACGCCACCTGGCCGCCCACCGCGCAGTCCCTGAGCGTGAGCTTCTGCAGCCCGCGGCAGGCCCCCAGGGGCAGCAGCGGCGCGGCCGCGCCCACGCTGAGCTCGAGGCTGGTGAGGCCCGGGAGTGCCCCCACCGCCGCCGCAGCCGTCACCTGCAGCTCCGCGAGCTTTGTCCAGTCCATGCGCCCCAGCCATGACGGGTACGCGTTCACCAGCTGCGGGGTCGCGGCGGCATGCCAACGAACGCCGCACTCACGCAGGCGCGCTCGTGAAGCAGTCGGCGGTCGCGCGGCACCCCATGGCAGGCAGGCAGCCTCGCCGGCCGGCTGGTTGTGGCGGCAAACCCGTCGGGCCCACCTTCAGGTGACTCAGCTTGAGCCCCCGCAGGGTCGTCGTCAAGCGACGCCTGAAGCGAGGGCCGCAGCCGTCGTCGGGGTCCAGACTCAGCGACAACCTCGACAGTGACGCAGCGCCGGCGAGCGCGTTTAAGACCAAGGCGCGCGCGTCCCTGCCGCCCGCAGCGCTGCCGCCGGCGGGCGCCACGGCCGGCGGCGGTTTGAGTGCGATGTGCAGTCCCTGCAGCTCCTGGAGGCTGGGGCAGAGCGCCACCAGACGGGCGAGCGCAGCCGGGCTGATGGGCGCCGCAGGCGCATCCTCGTCCCAAGGCAGGGTGAGCAGCGTCACTGACGGCCACACCAGGCCGGGCTGCAGGGCCTCGAGCGCCTGCTCCAGCTCGACGGCCTGCTGCTCGTCGTCCACGCTCTCAATCTGCAGCTCTGCGACAGAGGGGAACCGCTCCACGGCCGCTGCCAGCGCCACTGCTGGGGCCCCTGCCTCCCCGCCAACGGCGATGCACCAGATCCGCGCCTCCACCAGACGGCATGCGGCACGGCTCGCAAGCCTCAGTTGCGAAAACGATGCTGAGTCCATGCAACAAGCCAATGCATCGAGAGCTATCTGAGGCAGCTCTAGCAGCCGCGAGCTCGCCATGATCTTGAATGTCGCGCGCGCAGCAACACCCCTCAGCAATAATACTGGAATGAGGGGTGTAATGAATTACTTGTAGGACACGATACCCAATTGATTGCCAGTAAGCCGCTGATCAAGCAAAACAGTGCTGACAGGTCGCGTCCCCAACCCAACCCTCGAACCCCCCCTGGCCGCTCCTCTCGCGCGAGTGTCTCCGGCTGCCACTCGCACACGTATGTCACATACAATCCTTGCAAAATCAATGCATGCATTGTGTGGGGCATACCTTGTGTGCCAGCCACTGCTGCCGCTGTTGCAGGCCCCTGCTTCTCCCGCTTCCTGCCCGTCAGGGCCCCAGCCTGTCAGCAGCAGGTTGATGGACACAACAAACCTTCAAACCCGCCACCCACACCACGAGGCAGCCGGGCAGCAGGCGCTTCTCCACATTTCTGTAGGCCAAGCTATCAAGAACCCTTGGGACCAGCGTGCACGTGAAACGCGGCAGCAGCGCACAGCCGGCTGCGGGCGCGGCGGCCGCCATTACGCTGTTGACCGCGGGAGGCGGCCCCCTGCTCGCCCCTGCCTGAAGTCCAGCAATACGGGGGGCTGAGCAGGCTAGTGGCCTCACCAGCTCTTGTAGTGTTGTGAGTGCCTGTGGATACAGAGATCTGGTAACATGCAGGCCCAGCAGGTGGGGTGCATGCTTGCCCTTCAAGGCGTGCAATTACGCTGCTCTTGACCACTGGTTCCCGTGGCATATATACCTCTGGGAGAGATCCATGCAATAATAACATCCAATGAATTTATGAATCGCAATTAATGGATTCAGATGAAAAGTTGGCAGGTACATGCGAGGGGGAGATTTTCTGGCAAGGGCGTGCACCTGATGACAAGTCATCGCCCACCGCAATCGTTCAAATAATGTCCCCCGTCCCCTCATGTATGTGCTCCAGCCTGCAACAAGCATGCATGGGGACGTGCCAAGCTATGAATGCGCACTACTCTAAATGCTGTCCTTGTCATCCAGCTCAGTAATTTGCGGACGCCTGGTACTGTACGAGTGCCACCATTACTAGCCCTGGTTGCTTGCATTGCATGAGTGCACAACTTGTGCGTGGTCCTCTGCAGCCACAAAAGTGGGGCAGACATTGGTGCCAGATTTATGTCCATCCTAATATACTAATCAGGGAGCGTCCGTAACGCTGCATCGGCCGAAGCGGCGCTGCTGGGCCGCTGCGCCGGCAGGCGCGAGTGCCCAGAAATGTAGGAGGCCTACATAAGCTTATATGCCGGGTTTGAAGGCCACATAAGCCGTGTAGCGCAAAGCCGGTGCGCGTCTCACCCCTTCAGACACTGAGACGTGTCCGTTGCCGCTCGGAGCATAGCTCTCAAAGCATTAAGATATCAAATATCGCACTCACGTACGCGCAAACACGATCGTCACCCGCACCGCGACTTCCATGATATGGGGACACACTTCAACATACACACGTCGTCTTCCATTATCAACACACTTTAGTACGTACATTTCACTTTCAAAAACAACACCTGGAGATGGATTTGTGGCAGTCAGCTCGCATCACAACAACGGGTTGCTGCACAGCAGTGGTTGCTTGATGTTTGAAAGCGTATGGCATCGCCACGACCGACTGACTATCACTATTGCGCGAACGCCATTTAAAGAGATTGGATTTGTTGTGTAGATGGCGTTTGACACAGGGATGCAGATTGTTGTTGATCCACTGCCCGGCGACGGGTCCTGTGCTGCAGTAGCGCAAGTCAGGCCTGAATGTAAAGGCTCAACACGCGCTCGCTGGGCGGAGCAGTGGCAGGACGCGGCTCTTAGGAGTGTGTTTAAACACTACCTGCCGGCGTCTGTGGCGACTGTCACGGTTGGGCGCCTCTGCCAAAACTGGCGGCTCTGGGCGCGTGCAAATCAGCCACAGCTGCAGGCGTGCCGGGCAGCTCCAGTGCAGGAGGAGCCAAGGTGGCCGTTGTGCTACTTTGAGAAGGTGTGGCCGTCGCTCAGCTACAGAAAACACATGAAGATGATCTCCTCAAAGGAAAGCACCCTCCAAAACAAAAGGTCGCCACAGGCTCCAAAAAGGGCGAGAGGGGCCCCCCCGCCTCAGCAATACTCCCTCTTGACAGTGATAGGCCCCCATTCATGCTTTGCCGCCGCCAGCTTTCCGTGTTGTTTAGAATGTCTACGCGAACGGTCAGCTCTATCTTGCCGCCTCCTGCATTGGCTGTCGGGAGGGCGTTTGGTTATTGGTGCCCAGCGGCATGCGGCGCGCCCTGGGGCACGTCCCTGCTGGGGGGGGGGGTGGTGCTGGCAACCCAGTGTGTTGTGAGGTGCCGCAATGACACCTCATGACCAAACCACCAAGTGTATTTTATTGAAAAGAAACCTTGGCAATTTTTATGCAATTCCGCCAGCAACGCGGCGGGTACAACACTAGTGCCTTGGAAATCTTCAAGACTACTAAAGATTGGGCAGTCGGCTGGGATTTTTCTCAGATCTGTTACCTCCTGTGGGGCTGTTCACATGTCGGGAGACCCCGAGAGGTCAAATCACAAGCACAGCCCACAAGTAGCGGCCACCCCTGACAAGCCGCATGCATACGCCGTGACAAAGTATCATGTTTGCAGTCTGCAGTTCTTGACAAGATACGCATACTGTCACGCCACAGTCAAAGTGTTTGAACGCTCTCAAGGCCAGCTGCGCAGTGATCTGCGCAGCAATTTACACATTTGCAGCGCAGCAACCGAAAAATACAGAAGCGTGCTTATGAACTATACGTACTGTTGAAAGTACCAGGTTCCCAGTCATGGACCAGTTCTTCGTGCGATGTGATCTGTGCGCGTGAGCTGGACACCGTGCTGGACCAGCTGCGCAGATGCACAATGGACCTAGACGCTCCAATAGGCTCAGGCAGCCCGCCGTTGGCGCCTTATGCAGTCCGTCGCGCAGCCCTCTTCCGCAACTTCTCCAGCTCCCCTGCCGCGCGCGTGCTGCGCGGCTCGGCGCACAGGAGCTTCAAGTCCATCCAGTCCTTGTCAGGCGCCGCGGCGGCGCTCGCCACTGAATTAGGAGTGGCATGGGGCGCTCCATTGCGATATGTGTGCGCCGGGCTCCTCGTTGCCTTCACCACCACCCTGCTGGCCGGCACGCTGCAGATGCTGTTGGTGTCGCTGCGCACGGCCTCTGCGCTGGCGCTGCTCGCCGCCGCACATGCAGACGCCCTGATTATTGTGATGGCGCTCACAGCAATGACGGCCGCGCTTTCCGCGCGCCCCTGGCAGCACAGCGGCGCCATTGCTACTGGCCTGGGTATGCTCATGCGCCGAGGCGGCGGCGCACAGCGCATGGTGTCCTCAATGGTCATGTGCACTGGCGCCGCCGTCATGCTGCTCGCGGCGTCGCAGCACGACTCGGCCCGCGGGGCTGGCGACAAGGCCGTCTTTGACTATACCTCTCATGAGTGTGTCAGCGCCCTTGGCGCGGGCAGCCCTCACCAGGGCGTCCATGGCGCAGGCATGCTGGAACTAGGCGATGATGACAGCGTGCCCGCACCACCGGCCCCGCTGGCCTTCCGGCTCCTCGCCTACTGTGACACGCGCCCGCCTGCCGCCGGCCGCCGCGGCGCTGCGTGGCCGGCGCACTACTTGACTTGCGGCGCCGCGGCCGGCGGCACGCTGCCTGCGCCGCCCAACGCATCCTTCGGCTGCACCGCGGGCCGCGCGGCCTCCAATGCCTCGCGTCCGCCGTCGCTGCTTGCGACCTCAGTGAGGGTGGCGGCCCGCATAGCCTGCAACGTGGCGGTGCCCGCCGAGCTGCGGATGGCGGCGCTCCCCTTGGCCTCTCGCAGCATGACGCTCGCACCGCTCTCGCTCGCGGCCGCAGCGTCCCTGTTCGCCGTGCGCCTGTGCGCGGCGGCCGCCGCCGCGGCCGTGTGCGCCGCGGGCATTCTGCTTGCCTGGGCGGGCGTCCTGACCATCAAGTGTGCTGCAGCCACGGGCGAGGCACGCACGGACCGGCTGCTGGCAATCCGCCACCGCCAGCAGTCGCCCGCCCCACGCGCCGCCGTCGCTGCGTCTCCGCCGCCGCGGCACCCGCGGCGGCGCTCCCCGGTGCCTGCCAACGCCGGCCGCGGCGCCTGGCAGCCCTCGCACCTGCTGGCTATCCAGCACCCGTCGCTGGTCCTACGAGCACCCCCGGCCGCCGGCCGCGGCACAGCAGGCCCCGCGCTTCCAGACCGTGCGTCCACGGCCCCTGCCGGCGTCATGGCCGTCATCAGGATCACTGGCCCCGCCTCCAAAGCGCAGCACAAGGCCATGGCCGGATCCCCGCCCTGCCACGACGCTCATGCGGCCCCCGGCAAGACGCGCGCCGGCGCCGCACACAGCGCCGCACGTCCCGAGGTGGGCGGCGCCCCCGGCGGCGTGAGCGCCTCCAACACAACATCTCTGCTGAGCCGCCCATGGTTCTTACCTTCCGTCCAGGCGGCCATCATGGGGGCTCTCGGCGCCGCATTCGGCACACTCGCTAGCCTCTTAAGGCGCGTTGCGCGCAGCTGGACTGCGGGTGTTGCTGCGTGGGGCGCGTTGCTGAGCGTGCTGAGCTCACCCTTCTGCTTTCTCTGGTTCTTAACGGCCGCGGGCATCGCTGCCGTGCACGCCTGCGTGGCGGCAATGATGTGGTGGCTGGCAATTTTGTTGTGGCCAGCGCGGCTGTACCTGGCGCTTTGGTGCCACGCCGCGCGTTGCGCCGCTTCGCTGCTGAAGCGTCCGGTGCCTGCGCGTGGCTTGCAAGCACGCGTGCTGGCCAGAGTGGGATGAGAAGACGGCTGCTTGGCTTTGTCTGCTATCCTTGTATTGTGCCCTGTTTTGCTGTGGATTCCCAGAAGTGTCTGATGCGCTGTGCTACTGCCAACCTCGTGACAACCATTGCTTTGAGTCCACAGGGCAATCATTTGCATGCTGCCTAGTTACAGAATCTTACAGAGCGAATGTGGCGTTGTCAGGGTGAATCAAAACGCTACATGGGGCACGTGAGGGGATGGAGCCGCCTGTCACAAAGCTCCCAGCACATTATTGACCGGCAAAAATGGTGTTGCAGGGTGTTTCAAGCCCAGGCATTAAAGGACTTTCACGTTCGTAATCAGGCTCAAAAGAACCCACTTGCCAGGACGGCGAAGGTTTGCAGCCGCCAGCGAACGGTTGTGGGGGCGGCACTCTCAGTGCGCGTCAGTCAAGGGCCAGGCGATGCATGCTGGCGCAAGGGTGGGACCGCGGGCGGTGCGCAAGCCTGCTGACAAGGGAGTGTGGCTGATGTTTGCGGTGTGGCTGTGATTGGGGTTTGGCGCCTACTGTAACAAGGTGCTTGTATCACACAGTTTTGCTGTGATCCTGGCCGTGGTCCTGCTGTGCTACGGGACGCCCTGGAGGTGTCAGGGTGTCAGACGTCAATGCCCCTCTCCCGCATCGCGACGCGCCTCCACTCGCCGCGGAGGAAGCCGCGCTCAACACTGCCTGCCGGGTGAGCGGACGGCAGTGGCATGGCAGAGCTTATCTGAGAAGGTGTGTAGTGGCCACCACTTCCAGGCAGGGTGGGCTCGCATGTCTAATTAGGGCTGACTGCTCACCGCGTTCGGCCGCGCAAATCAATTCGGCAACACCTAAAGCAGGTTGCCATGCACAAACTCAGCGCATGCGCGCTCACCTGGTTCACAACGCGACGGCGTCACAGGCGCGCCACTGTAGGGTGCTGTGTGAGGGGGGCTGCCTCGCATCGCGGGGGCCGCTGTGAAGCCGTCGCCACCGCCGACGCTGCTGTCGCCGCCGCTGCTGCTGCCGCCGCCGCCATTTTGCCGCCGCGCATCACCTGCGGAGAGGCCCCTCATCATTTCAATCGCATTGTCAAGCTCCATTGGCGCAGCGCCGTTCGCTGCCGCGGGCGTGAAGGCGTTCTCCTGCATGAGGTGGTCGTTGGACGGCCAGGACACTTTGGCGTTTTGTCAAGGCCATGCCTTGGGTTGGTCTCGTGCTGCGCCAGCGCAGCAGCCGTTAGTGCTGGTGTTTGCGACAACTGGGGCCGTGGTTGCACTATCTTCAAGCTGCCCCATGTGCAAGTAGCCGCTTTCAGAAGCCGGCCATGCCATCGCACCTGGACGGTCGCCTCATCGTCTTCTGAGGGCTGCGACAGCGGCAGTTGCAGGCCGTTCCCGCCATGGTCGAGTCGCTCCCCCAGCGGCCGCCGCTGCTGCCACAGCGCGGGATCGAGCCCCACTGGCCCGGACAGGCCGCACCACGCGGACTGAGCGGCGGGAGGGAGGAATGGCTCGCTGCGCTCGAGGCCCTCCGCTGTTTCGCCACTGCTGTTGATGTCGCTGGGTGTCGCACGGGTCTGGCAGTGTTATGGCAATGCGGAGAAAAGAGAGGTACTGGTGTGCACGCTTGGCAAAAGCAACTAGGGTCACACACAAGCACGGATGGGCAATGCATGCCCGAACCCTGTAGGTTGAAGCAGCAGCTCACCCGCTTGGTGAGGGCGGTTGGCTCATCAGCACCTCTTTCGGTGCCGCAGTCCCTTCGTAGCACCGCAGCACGCTTCTGAGACTGCGAGCTGGGGACAAGGGGCGCCTTCTCACGCATGTTGAGGTGACGGCTGCTGCTGAGGGCTGTCGAGGCAGGCGAGGGCGCCTGCACTGCCAGCGCACCACCTGCCGTCGTGGCTGCGGGCGAGGTTTGCTCTGGCCTCTGCCGCTTGGTCATATGCTCTGCTTCTACAAACGCGTCGTTCTCAGGGCCTCGCTTGGGGCCGCGGGCTGGAGAGGACATCGGTGCCATTGTTGGCCTCGCGGATGGGGACCAGTGCGCAAAGAGGAACGAGGTGGATACGACAAGTAGGTAGCAACCAAGGTCCCCGGTGTACAGATCTGAATGGCTCTGCGCGTCTGTGATGAAGTTTGGCGCGCTCAGCTGGAGACGGGCGCGTGCTACTGTATCGCACAAATGTTTTATGCGGAGCCATATATAAAAGCACGGGTGATTTTAAGGGACAGGGGCTAGGAACTCTGGGCGCTACCCGTGTCCGAGAGAGCCAGGCAAGTTCCTGGAGCTACGCCGGCAGCTGCAACGCTGGCCGCCGAGCGCCGACCGACCAACAAACGCTGCAAACGTGCATCATGATATGACAAGGCAACTGCTTTAGTCGTGCGTCTTTCATGATATCATGACCGCAGTTGCCCTAGCCACGCTTACCATGCATGCCATGGTCAGCACTGGGCTGACAAGCAACGTGCTGCAGGCCACGTCGCGATTGGATGCAACCGGGAGGGGGGGGGAACGGGCTGTGCGTATATAAAACTGCACTGAAATTACCTCGTGGTGCATCACCTTGCACCAATACTGGTACTCGTACTTGTTCGACCCGGCATTCATCCAGCTAAGCTCCAGACATCTAGTCATCTTTGGTGAGCAACAAGTACTGGCTCGGCGTGCAGTGAGGCACCAAACCAGAAGCAGAAGTGGACGTATTACCGTAATCTGTTCATGCTTGACAACAAGCCTGCCAATGGCGGATTGCTAGATCTGCACCAGAATTTGCGCTGCACGATATTCCATGACACCGCAAACGAATGCATCAACGTACCCCGGATCAGCAGTTACGTGCGTTTGGTGATTCAAACCGAAAAGACTGCTACCACAAGTGCAGAGAAAGGGCACGAGATTGAGGGATAGAGTCAACGCAGACACCGACACAGCGCCACGCTGAAGGCACCCAGCGGTGTGTGTTGGTGCCCTTTGGAAGATGCACTTGCAGACGCCTATAAGTCTAAATTCTCCCCGAATCGCCCATCTCATCGGGTAGATCGATCACACTGTTCGCAGTGTCAGTCGTGTAACTGTCATTGGGACACGAGGCATCATTGTCGCAGCATCAACCGTACTCTGACAAGCTTGTGGTACGATTGGACCACATCGTGTGCAACCGGGGTTCCGCACTCACTGCTCACACCTTTTGCCCGCGGCGTGCTGGTTGCTACGACGGGAATTCTGTCGTTCAACCAATCGATAGCTGGAGCTTAAGGCGGTGGTAGCGGCTGAAAAGGGCTCAGAGCAGCAGCACATCCCGTGGCGGTGCCGCCGCTTTCGACCTCGCTGCAAAGCGATTTCAGTGCTGCGCGCCGACATGCACGCCTCCCGCTCCCTAGCGGGCGCTCGGCTGCGAGGCGCTGCCCGGACATCCGGCAGCGCCAGCACCCGCCGCTTGCACGCGGCCGCTGCGCCGGTCCTGCGCCGCAGCGGCCCGCATGCGCGCGGCGCACGGGCCCCGGCGCCCCGTGCTGCCGCGCGGCGCGGCCTTAGCGTCAACGCCCTCCTGGATTACGTCGCGACTGCAAGCGATGACGGCGTCCTGCGGCTGCCGGCGCGCACTGAGCTTGATCCCGAGGAGATTAAGAACGTGTACAACTACCCCAGGTGGGCCGGCAAGCAGGGGGCAGCTGGTGCCCGCAAAATTGGGTTCTTTCAATCGCGTGAACCTTGCTGTGACCTTTATGTGGCTGGTGATGTATAGCAGGCGCCTCTGCTCTGCTGAGCATGCGGTTGAGCGCGCTCACGTCACTGCCGCTGGACCGCGCCGTTTTGCGACCCCGCCTGCCGCATGGGCGTCACTTTGACGCCGTCCCACAAGGTAGCCCGCGGTGCGTGGCGGCATCCGCACCCCCATTTGACCCCGGCCTCCCTCATGGCCGCAGGAACTTGCCGGACAACTACCACATTGGCAAGGTCATCGGCGCCGGCAGCTTCGGCACAGTGCGCGAGGCTGTCTCGATCGCCACAGGCCACACGTACGCGGTCAAGACAGTCTCCAAAGTGCCCAAGCGCGGCCCGCCGACGCCCAGGTGCGAGGAGCCTCAGGCGATTGGGGGCTGACGCGGCGGTTGCCGCACCTCAGCCGCGGCACCCATACCGGCGGGAGCGCGGCGTGCGCCCGCCGCCTCCACCCTGCTCTGCCCTCACCATCATCTCTATTCAGCCTCATGGCAAAGCCACGGGTGTGCAAGCTAAGAGGTGCTCCACAGCCGTGCACATGCAAACAGGTGTATCATCGAAAAGCTCGTCCACATCCCCAGCCCAAGCACCCATTCCGCGCCCAAATTCGTGACCCCGGGGCGGCAGGTACCTCCTGAAGCTGCGCGCTGAGGTGGAGGTGATGCAGCAGCTGGGCGTCAGCCTCAACGCGGTCAACCTGGTGGACGTGTTTGAGGATGACGTCAACGTGCACCTCGTCATGGAGC